AGCCTCCACTAACCAGTGGGCAAGTCTTTCTTTGGAGACAGCCTTTCCCTTCTGCTGTCCTCTGAAACAGACAAAGAGCTGGTCTGAGGTCCTGAAGCTCTGCGTACGGTCCACGTAAAGGTGAGGAGCACTGTCTTCAACGACAGAAACTTAAGCTCTACTGATTGCAGAGGCTTGAAGGGCTCCTCCTTCATGGCTGTCAGGACCGAGGGGAGATCCCAAGAAGGTAACCGGTGAGGGCGTGGAGGATTTAACCTCCTTGCCCCTCTGAGAAACCTGATGACCAAGTCGTGCTTCCCCAAAGACTTACCGTCTACTGCCTCGTGATGTGTGGCAATGGTGGCAACATACACTTTAAGGGTGGAGGGAGACAGCCTTCACTCCAACCCATCCTACAGGAAAGAAAGCACGACTGCGATCGGGCATCTATGGGGGTCTTCCCATCTACGGGGGTCTTCCCGGCAGGAAGAGCACCAATCGACGAACAGGTTCCACTTCAGCCTGTAAGCGTGTCTAGTAGACGGGGCTCTAGCTGAAGTGATGGTGTTTACTACCGCTGGAGGTAGCCCACCTAGAACCTCTGTGTCCCGTCCAGGGACCACAAGTGGAGATTCCACAAGTCTGAACGCGGGTGCCAGAGGGTGCCCCCTCTCTGAGAAAGGAGATCCCTCCTCAGAGGAATTTGCCAAGGAGGGGCTGTCGAGAGGAGCATCAGTTCGGGGAACCAAGTCCGACTGGGCCAGTATGGCACTACCAAGAGGACCTGCTCCTCGTCCTCCCTGACCTTGCACAGTGTCTGTGCGAGAAGGCTCACTGGGGGAAACGCATATTTGCGTAGGCCCCGAGGCCAGCTGCCCGCCAGTGCGTCCGTGCCGAGGGTCCCCTCGGCCAGGAGTAAAACAACTGGCTATGGGACGTGTCCGGGGAGGCAAACAGGTCTACTTGAGCGTCCCCAAAGCGCCTCGACATGCGACGGGAGCGTAGACCGCCCTGGTGGTTGATGTACGCAACAGTCGCAGTGTTGTCCGTACTGACCAGCACATGCTTGTCGTGTAGCAGTGATTTGAAACGGCGCAGAGGCAGCCATACTGCTTGCAACTCGAGGCAATTGATATGCCACTGCAGTCGGGGCCCCGACCAGAGCCCCGCAGCTGCATTCTCATTGCACATGGCACCCCAGCCCCTGGCAGAGGCATCTGTTGACACAACAACATGCCTGGATACTTGCCCAAGGGACACCCCTGTCCGAAGAAGGCAAGATCTGCCCACGGGCTGAAGGTCTGACAGCAGCACGGGGTGACAGAAACCCGGTAAGTGCCATGCCATGCCCATCTCGGGACCCGGTCGTGAAGCCAATGCTGAAGCGGTCTCATATGAAGCAACCCAAGCGGCGTGACAGCGACTGCGGATGCCATATGCCCCAGGAGCCTCTGAAACTATTTCAGTGGAACCGCCATCTTGCACTGGAAGGACCCCAGGCAGTTCAGCATCGACTGTGCACGTTCTACTGAGAGACGTGCCGAGAGGTTGACCAAGTCCAGCTCCATGCTGAGAAAAGAGATCTTCTGCAAAGGGGAGAGTTTGCTCTTTTCCCAGTCGACCCTGAGGTCGATCACTGCGAACCAATCGAAAGGACGGACGCATTGAAAGATGCGTTTCTGCGTCAACATCCTGAACGGAAGCTTGTGAAGGGCCCGGTTCAGCATGTGCAGGTCCAGGATTGGTTGTAACCCACCGCCTTTCTTGGGTACGATGAAGTATGGGCTGTAAAAACCTGACCTCATCTCGGCTGGAGGGACCGGCTGTATCGCATCCTTCACCAGCAGGACTGTGATCTCTGCACGCAAGACAGGAGCATCCCTGTCCAGCACAGAGGTGAACCGAATGCCCCTGAACTTGGGAGGGCGCCGGGCGAATTGAATCGCATAGCCGAGTCTGATGCTTCACATGAGCCAGCGAGATGGCCTGGGGAGCGCTAACCAGGCCCCCAGCGACCGAACAGGCGGAAACCTGGGGAAACCACCGACGTACCCGCAGTGGGGCAGCACAGTG